TACTTAAACTAATACAAAATATTCCTTTCAAAGAAAAACCCTAAAATTGATTTTTACTAACTAAGAGATTCATAATTTAATTGACTTTCAATTATAAATTTAACCATTAATTGAAATATCTCGTATGTGTGAAATTTCTTTTATATAAATGTGTTAACTAAAAAAAAATCAATATGCTTTTAGCTATTAATTGAAATTTTTTTGATTTGAAAATTAATGAAATTTTACTTTGCTAGAGTCGTCGAAAACTGACGATGGTCATCGACGACTGGAGGTGGTCACCGGCGACAAGTGACGACAATAGCAATGGCACTGACAATGGCATTAAGAGGTGATGGGATAATGAAGCTAAATTAAGGATAGTTTTGTTTAAAAAAAATTAGTGTCTTAAACTAACAAGCATATTTTAGTTGTACTTAAACTAATACAAAATATTCATTTCAAAGAAAATTCCTAAAATTTATGGTGCTCAATAACCAAAGGTCACCATGGAGTTCTTTGTTTTGTTGAGAATTTATAGGCCGAATTAGGAGTCCTACTAGACTATGAATCTCATATATGTGTCTTAGGGAGATGTGGGATAGAAATGGTGGGATTGAAATCTAATGGGATTAAGTTATAAAATTACACATTTGCCCTCTATGTATTTAACTTCATTATGTATTTTATTTAGTAAAATAAAATATATAATATAAAATACCAATTAAAAATAAAATAAAATAATTTTATTAAATTTTTATTAAATTTTATTTAATTAATAAATATTTATAGATGTTTTATTTTATAGTTTTATTGATATTTTAATTAATTTCATTATTTAATTTTTATTATTTTTTTATGGAAGCTTTTTTAATAAATCCTCTTTCTAAAAGTTTTACTCCATCCAATCCATATTCTTTTTTACTATTCCATTAGATCCTATTTGAGGTAAGAAGACCAAAACACCCTCAATATCTCCTATCCCCTATTAATGTTGATATTTAATGTTGATTATCATTATGTTTTGATAGTTCCCATGCATCAGGATGTTTACTGTCATTATATTCATATTAATTTCAAATAAATTTTTGTCATTGTGTTATCAATTACATGATGTGAATATTCATATCATGTAATTGAAATGAATATTCACATCATTATATTCACATTAATTTGATATGAATTTTTGCCATTGTGTTGTCAATTACATGATGTGAATGTTCATACTAAAATATACGAATATGAACGTTCACATTACTACATGTGAATAAGAATGTATTGTCAATTAAAAATGTAATGAACATTATTTTTAATGTGTTGTCAATTAAAAATAAGAAGGTTCACATGTTGTGAACGTTCACATCACTACATTAAATGAGAGAGAATTTTTCGAAAAGGTGTTGTGAACGTTCACATCAAATGAGAGAGAATGTTCACATTATTTTTAATGTATTGTTAATTAAAAATATATTCACATTATATAATAATATAAAATAATAACATCAATGTTATTTAATTTGTGTATGAAATTTCCTATGCCTTGGTCCTTTCCCTTCTCTCTTCTCCCCCAACTGTAACGCCCCAAATTTCTAGCCCAAATGATAAGACAACAATCATGTCACTTTCAAAAAAAATCGAATATTAATCTCCAAATTTACATTACATGATACAATAGTTTTTTATGCAGCAATACATTAATCCAACAATAAGTAAATAAACAAATAAATACCCCTAACGGTTTATAAGTTTCCAAGGCTTGAGCCTGGTTATACAAAACGGTTATTCAAACAGAGTCGCAACAAAATGAGAGCATTGTATTCCCAACACACATACTTCTACCCCCCTAGTTGGATAGGATCACCACATCTTTTCCTGCACAAAAATCCTGTAGGGTAAGCATAAAGGCCAGTAGGAAATTCTTAACAAACTGTATACATTTTATACAAGTCTCAAGAGATGAAATGCACATGCCATGCTATGCCATTTTTGAAGATAAATCACATTTTCATCTTTTGAAAGCCATCATGCTCAATGATATCATGCAATTTCAATTGTTCAAAACTTAACAATTTATTTCAAGAGTGGTAAATATGACTCTGGTAATCCCTAAGTCGGTGTCTGCAAGTAGACTATACAAATACTATCAAATTGTCATTTTTACCGGTATTAACCAGAAGGCTCGACACCTATTCGCGCGAGTTTTCGGCCTTTCACCCTGGACTCTTAGGCCAACTTATTCAATATCATCTACACTACCTATCAAGACTTACCAACGTATTTATCCCAAAACCATTTCATGAAACCTTGTTTCTCAACATTCTTTTCTCAATGCAAGTTTTTAAATCAACTTTCAAAATTTAATGTAATCAAATGAATTGATATGCCAATTTCACAAGATGAATATAAATACTTTTATTCCAATTCATCATCCAAGAAATAACACAATTCTCTCTTCTCAAGTATCCTCAGCAATTAGTTATTTCAAGACTATTTTAACGTTTTGAACAATAATTTTCAAAATGAACAACAATTCTCACATTCCCTGAAATTCATCATTTATATAAATATAAATAAGAAAATATTCAAACATCCATTTATTTTGACACACAAAATAAATATAACAATATCATTCATCGATTTTTAGTCTCCTTTAAAAAAAATTCCCAAATTCTAGGTTTTCTCACCAAAACTATATAACTTAAATCTTTTGAAAGAAAACTTTCCAAAATCATCTTTTCTTCAGTCAACGAAGATCAAAACTTATAAGATCATTTTAAAAGAGCAAGAGACAAACCCACTATCAAAATCGCTCAACTTCTTGAATCAAAAATCAATTTTCAAAGCCATCGAATGATGATTTCGAAAATCATATTGATCTTGCAAAATATATATATATAACTCTAAGAAAATCCATACCTCAAGTTTTGAAGAAGAAATGAGATGAAACCCCCAAAATCAACGATGTCGAAACTCAATCATCACCGCAGACAACGAAGCCCTCGAGAAGTTAACCAACTTTGATGAAGAACTTATGGCAGAACTCTAATGGATCTTGAGAAATCAAGGTTTTGATCCAATTTGGCATAGGGAAATGTAGAGAGAAGGGAGAAGAAAGAGTTTTTAGAGAGAGAGATATACAAAAGTGATCTGAAATATCAGATTCACGAACTGATATAACGTGGTTTGCTTGAGCGTGGAAAGTCCCGTTCGAGCGTCAAATACACTTTCATAGTACTTTTGCAGACATGTCAAATTTTTGAAACCAAACATTCTCCGCTCGAGCACATAAACGGCCACTCGAGCAAACAAGCAACTTCTAATGCATTTTGCATTTTTGCATCGGGGGCGCTGCCCCTCAACCCCACCAGGGCTCTGACCTAGGACCCGCGCCCCTTGGACCCCCGCGTGCTTATCGAGCAGCCCAATCCCCGACATACTCAGTGAAGTGGCAAAACTGAGATTGCTACACCAACATTAGATATCAACATTAAATATCAATATTAAATATAAGAGCATATGAGTTTAAAAAAATAGTGTAAATCAAGAAATGAACTTTATGGAATAAAAGTATAAATACAAGGGACTAAGTGGGTTAAAAAATTCTTTCGTAGACTTTTTCGGTTAGAACACTTCTAAATAGAATTTTTCAATAAAAATCATTTTTTTTATTATTTAATTTCATTATTTAATATTTTTTAAAAATAAATTTATTTAAAATTTTATTTTAAAATAACATAAATTTTTACTAATGTTTTATTTATTTAATTTTTATAAAATAAAATAAAATAGATTTTTATTTAATCTAGCCAAAAAAATTAAAATATTAAAGACATATTTAATATTGCTATTACTTATTAAACAATTGAAAACGGTAAAATAGTCTATTCAACAATTATCCTTCTTCATAATATTCTAATCAAACTTTGAATTTAATAGGATAGTTATTTCCTGACATCTAATCCCATAAGAAAATAAACTTGGGATATACATCATTTTCAACGAAATAGTTCAGGGACTATATATATCCTAAGATTAGTATGATGGATTACAATCCCCTTATCTAGTCTGTCCAAACAAATATGGGGGAAAATTCTTTTAGCAAATCCAAAATCTGTCATAATTTTGAGTTATGAATTGAGGCTCATTATATAACGGATCAGACCACCATTTAAGTCATTTTTTTAGTTGACCCAATCAAGTATACATAGCTTTTTCTATTTAAAAATTAAAAAAATAAATTAAATATAACCAAAAAGAAGTGATATGAAACCATTAATTTTTAGTATGAAACGATTAGAGATTATCTGATTATATATTATAAAATGTTAATGAAATAAAGAATTAACAAAAAAAATTTAAAATCAAGCATCATCCCATATATTTTATAAATATTCATAGATAGGGATAATAATCAAAATTTAAAATACTTGGGCGATCATCCCTACATGGTTCCCCCTTTGTACCAACCAAAACTGGATTGTTTTAAAATTGTTAAACTCACATTCATCCATTCAGTGCTTTGAAACTGTCTATTTAAAATCAAAATGGATGGATTGAGTGGATGTTTAGCTCAAACTAATTCCTTTCCTTACTTAGGAATGTTAAACAAACCAAATTGCTCAATTTGATTTGTGTTCGGCTCGTTAAAAGTTGATTTAAGATTGACTTGTTAGGTAAACAAACCAAATTTAAATATAATTTTAAATTCGTTAAGTTTTCAAATCAAAATCAAACAATTGACAACTTAGTTTGATAAATTTATATGCATTATAAAAAATCAAGTTACTTGAACTTGACTATGTTCAACTCAACTCATTATGTAAATATACACGTTTAAATATAATTTGAAACTCGTTAAATTATTAAACCAAACTTAAATAGCCTATTACTTTATTCAACTTGACTCATTTTTAGCCTTATTGCTACTAATGTATAACATCTTAGGAAAAAAATTTAATTAAAATTAAACAGTTTCATAGTGCTGTATTTATGGTTAACCACCAAAATTTTAAGAGGAAAAAGTGGAGGTAGTTGAGGAAAAAGTGGAGGGGAGGGTAGTTGAGGGCATGGCAAGTGCACAACTAGTGTTTGCAGCCACTGATAATATACCCACTTCTATTGCTTAACCAATTGCAAAGCTAGAGAGAGAGCTTTACAATTCCATACTCATTTCAGGTATAAATCCTATGCGCCTACATCCCCTCTCTCTCTCTCCCTCTCTCTCTCTCAATGCATGTAGTTAGAGATTCGAAGATTTTTTTTTAAAATTTTTATTATTCTTATTTTGTCTCTAGAACTTGTGATTTCTATATCAGACATTGAGCCTAAATCTGAAGTTGTATATGCCATACATTTTCACCTATATATTCACATCTGGCAATAACGTTTTCAATTTTATCACATTATTATTGTATATGTTGTTAGACACTTCGATGCATGTATTACTATTATTGGGTATGATTATTTGTCATGGGTAATCCCTTGGATTATGTATATTATCGTGTGTTTGGATTGACCCAGATTATAGGAGAATAATTGACAAAATAATATCAATTTTGTAATTCAATCAGTTAGGTTTGTTTGAAAAGTGACTTTTTTTAAATAATTTTTTGGACTTTTTAACAAAAGAGATGCGAAAAAAAGAAGAAGAAGAAGTTTTTTTGGGGCTAATTTAGCCCATTCCCAAACAAGGCATTAGTCTAATTTATCCATAGTCCCCTATTTTGTATTTCACCCCCTCTTGGGATTCAATAATCTCTATATGGGAATGCTATACTGGCCCTGTTTGGTAGAGCTGTGGGAAAGTGCTTATAGCTTATGCCTCAACAGCTTATAGCTTATAACTTTCAGCTTAAGCTGATTTCCAGCTTATTCTTAAAGCATCTCCTGCCCCACTCAAAGAATAAACTGATTTCTGACTTCCAAAAAGCTATAAGCTAAACTAAACACATCAAAATAGCTTAAATTAAGCTGAAAGCTGAAATAAGCTGTAATTAAGCTCTGCCAAACAGGTACACTATGTCCACTATTAGTACGGACCCCAATTTATTAGCCACTGGATTATATATTTTGTTAAATTATTAATCTAATCCTAAGGCCGTGTCCACCCAAACAAACTTGGCATTAGCGGGAAGGGATCTTTTTTAAGGTCCTTTATGTTGGATTTGTTTATGTTGTTCGGGGTTAAGTTCATGTATTTTGGGTAAATAAATTCCTTCTTCTTTTTGGGTATTTTCTTTGGAATTTTCTGATTGTTTTTTAGATGAATTACTCATTTCTATGTACAATTAGTTTGCTATATATTAATTGGAAATCTTTGCCTACATTTCTTTCAGTGTTCATTCATACAAGTCTTTTGTTGGGCTGTGACATGAAAAATCTGGTGTCCGATCCAGAATAGCCCTAAACTTGGACACCATATACCTATCTGTAATCCATATATATAAAATTCGAAAGAGACAACACTCTTACTTGTTTTTGAAACCATGTCAATATTTAGTTTTCCTAGAACACCATTTGTTTTTCATAAATATCTCTACGCTCTAGCTTCTACAAGCGATATAATAGGTTTTTAGCTTGTAACTATTTTAAATTTTAAATTCAACATTCTATTTTGTTGCAAATGCAAAGTGAGAAGTCTGAAACTTGGTAGGATAGAAAAAAAAAAAAAAACCTTCACGCACATCGTGCATGGCACCTTGCTAATATTCAATTGCATCATTCTTATATTAACACTTGGGGGTTATGCTATAGAATAATGCTATATGAGGCTTTTCGCCGAACTTACAATGACATTCACCATGAGTTAGAAAAAAGACGATCATCTAATCAATTAGGTATTGTATAACTACTTCCTTCATCTCCTCTTTATATTATGTAAATTCCTAAGGCACAACTTTCTTCATTGTAATTTGGTTTGTTTGACTCTATGATATGCAATAGTGTGTTGCGAAGCTCCAATTTTTTCAAGTCATGATTGCTTAAAAGACACTTCTCTTAAGAAATTTCCATGAACACCAGTTCCATCATCTTTTTCTTCAGTTTCACATTGCAAAAATTAAAAATCCAAAAAGGAAAAGCCTAGTTTATTATTTTCTAGCTTTCATAAAAACTAGGAAGCACAAGTAAAAAGTTTAGCCAATTAGTGTTAAATTTTTCATGAGATGATAAGGGTAGGAATATCATGTATTAAAATGAATTAAGAAGCAACATAAGAGGGCCTAAAGCATTGAGTGGATGTTGCGGTCTAATGGGAGCTTTTGTATTTTTTTATTATATTTTGATTAAGTTTGTACACCGATGTGTTTCTCTTTGGCCTCATACATGCTAACAGTGGTAGAACAAGTTGCAATTATAATGGTTAAATTAAGAAAACTGAGTTTAATAAATAGATAAAGTTTGAAAGAGGTTAAAAGATCTAGGGAACCTTAAATTCCTCACCTAAAGTTGTGGGCACCAAAAAAAATAAATAAAAATAAAAATAAATGAAAGAAAAGTTGAGCGAGGGAAACACCCTGAACATTCATGTCACTAATAAGATTGAAGATTTTTTTAAAGAAATTCAATCCCATGCTTTGGTGGCCAACAACGTCTTCAAAATTGAGACTAAGATTGCATAATCTTGTCTTCCTCAAAACTCGCTTAAGAAAAGATTCATGTACTAGGTTTTCATACTTTGGTGGCCAGTAACTGGTTGATCTTTTGTCTTTGTTTTTTGGGAGAAAATTGAACCAATTATCAGAGTTTTAAAAGGCTTTCTTGAGGCTCGCCTCGCCTTGAGGCTAAGGTAAAACGCATCAAGGCTTTGATTTTTAGGCATCACTCCCCAAAGGCTTGCGCATCATAGTTTGAGACATGCGCCTTAAGCGCGCTTTTTACGCTTTTTGCGCATAAGCATGTGAGGAGTATGCACATGCATAAGTTGCCCTGGGCATTTGTTAAACTTAGTCTATTAGATTGTTTAAACATAAAAAATTAAAAAGAATCCATTTTTACAACTATATTCTACAGGAAAAATTAAGTAAATGATCAATCAAGAAAAACACAGTTAATGGTCAAGTGAGAAGCTCAATCACTGAAGTTAAGAATATCGATTTCTCTTTCAGTAAAGGAAAACTTTCTTTTATGCAGTAAAATGTTCAACGCATTAAAGCAAAAAGTATTTACATATTTATATTTAGTTTTGTTTTTATTTTTTTTGTTAATATATTTTATGTTAGTGCTTTAGGCTTTAGATTAGTGCCTTTACTTTCGGTTAGTGGATCCACTTTTGGCATGATGATGTTTGTAATTTTCTCTCCTATATAACGGAGAGTGTACCTCTTTATTCATATAACATTCAATACATAAACATATTCAATACACAATTCTTTCTCTTTCTTTATACATAAAACTAATATGGTATCAGAGCTAGGTTAACAACCTAGTAATTTCGCTTCACCAGCTCCTTGTTTTCTGCCCTTAACACGCTTATCTCTGCTCGCGCATCCTTATACATGCGTTGGAGCAGAGCCAGTTGGGCGTTTAATTGCTGCACCTCATTTGTCCTACTCTGCAGCCGGTGCGACAAGTTTGTGACCGCCGTCATGGACTCCACACATGCCTTCAAAGTATACTGATTCGCCTCCACATCCGTTTGCACTGCCATTTTTTGCTCCACAGACCGCATCGGAAAGTTCAACGGAGCAAACTCTGGGGCGCTTGGTTGAGGTTCCAGTGCCACCGCACCAATTTTCTCTCTTGTTGACTCGTTGAGGTCTGGAAAGAGAGTGAGCAGACTCCGGGAAGACGAGGCCATTTTCTGGGCAACAGAGTGTTACAGAATATCTCTCGCAACAGAGTGTTACAGACTCTCTCTCTCAGCACAACGAAGAGTTTTTCAGAGGGATGGCAATTTGAGAATCTTCTTAATCCCTTTATTCTTGGTAATTTACCTTGTTGTTTATGGGTGTATACCTAATTTGATAGATTTTGGAAAGTTGCTCATTCGTCGTATTATTTTGTTGATTATTTACGAGATTTGAGCTTCATTGATGGTAGGAAATTTATTTTATTGCCTGTGTTCCTCTTGTGTTCTTGAATTACTACCCATCTGTTGCGTAGAATAGTTAGAAAAGAAAGTAGAGTTAGTTTGATATGGAAATGGAATATAAAATCAACCATTTATACATATGTTTTTTAAGTTCTTATGTACTTAGTATGGCCATAAAATTGTGTTAGATGCTTGAAGGACTCTAAAGGTAAGAATTACTTGGACGTTTGTGAACATTAAACCATCATATTCAAAATATGGGTTGCTGAGGTATGGAGAATGATAATGCAAATTTAAGGCGTTACTTGATTTAACCAGAGTTTTAAAAGGCTTTCTTGAGACTCGCCTCGATGCTCGCCTCGCCTTGAGGCTAAGGTAAAACGCATCAAGGCTTTGATTTTTAGGCATTACTCCCCAAAGGCTTGTTCATCATAGTTTTAGACATGCTCCTTAAGTGCGCTTTTTACGCCTTTTGCGCATAAGCATGTGAGGAGTATGCACATGCAGAAGTTGCCTTGGGCATTTGTTAAACTTAGTCTATTAGATTGTTTAAACATAAAAAATTAAAAAGAATCCATTTTTACAACTATATTCTACAGGAAAAATTAAGTAAATGATCAATCAAGAAAAACACAGTTAATGGTCAAGTAAGAAGCTCAATCACTGAAGTTAAGAATATCGATTTCTCTTTCAGTAAAGGAAAACTTTCTTTTATGCAGTAAAATATTCAACGCATTAAAGCGAAAAGTATTTACATATTTATATTTAATTTTGTTTTTATTTTTTTAACTATTTAAAAATATTTAATTTATTCAATAAATATTAAAATTTGAAATTTGAAATGCTTACGCCTCAACGCCTTGAGGCTTACGCCTTGCCTCATGAGAGGTAAAACGCCTTGAAGTACGCATTCGCCTTTAAAAACTTTGCCAATTATCATGTTATGTTAATCAACAATTAACCTATGATATGCCCTTCACGATCCTTCTCTAAACTGCAGAGATTGCTTCTTTACAACTAGAGTGAAAATGGTTGGTCATCATGTCACCTTGAAAGGTCCAGGGGTGATCAAGGAGATTTGTTTGGGGATTATACTCAGTCTGTCTATTGCCAGCGTGTGGAAGAAGAAACAATGGGACATGAAGAAAAGAACCACGGGATTCTATGACTCGCTCAATAAAGGTGAGATTAGTTTAGTTCCCGAAGAGTAGCTATTCTTGTGCCCTTCCTCATTTTATCGATACTTTTGTTAATAGTTTTTCAGTAAGTATGAATATGTAAACCAAACATAGAATTGGACCTAGAAACACATGAATGAACCTGATTTTTACAAAATTAGTTGACGGTCTCGCTTCTAAAAAATCACGTTTCATCAATGTATTTTTTGTCAAGTTCTGTGTTTAGTGTTATGTTTATTGTTATTTTTTGGTCAAGTTATGTTTGTTGTCATGCTTTGGATGCTTTTTGGTAGCAAAGAGAAATAAATTTTCTGTCAATGAAACTTGGCAAATACTTACTGTTATTGTGAAATTGTTTTAATCTCTTTTTGGTGACATTATCCCATTTTCCATGGTGTTGTGAAATGCTAGTTGAGTATTATTTATTATCCAATTTTCGATTTATTACTTCTAAACTCAAAGACGATTGATTTCATATGTATTTGTTAATATGGGTCTCATTATCTATGTGTCTAGTAGAAAATTAAGAATTTTATTTGTTTAGCAACAAAACTCTGCTACATGCACTCATGTCGGACACTTCTACAAATTTGCCATTTTAATTACTGATTAATAGTTTTATCTCTGAAGTAATTGGAACACTATTGCAGCATCAAGAATTTTATGATTGTTTTGAGAACCTTGTTGTTTGTGAGATGAAATTGGGTATAACTTTTTGTTACATACTTTCCTAAGGGTAAATTTCACTGACCTCCCCTCAGATTTGAAAAAAAAAAAAAAAAAATTCAGTGAACTCTACAAATTTGGCATAATTACATTTCTCTAAAAATTTTAATTCACATAACACTTAAATCCCTTTTCATCAATAATTTATTATTCATATATTTATGAAAAAAATGATATTATCAATTCTTTTACATTGAAATGTATATTTTACCCTATTTCTCTTTGTATCTTTGCACTATTTGTATTAATTTCGGTCCATTTAGTCTTACTAAAATGTAGGTTAGTGTAATTATGCCAAAATTGCGAGACTGCTTGTATTTTCTATAAACTTTAGGCGAGGTCAGTGTAATTTATCCTTTTCTAAATGTATATAGTATTCTTGTCGGACATTATACTTGGATAAATATATGAGTATGAGATATGTAACCAATATATGTAATTAGAACATACTTAGCAATTCGAGTTAATCATAAAAGGGGCACTTTTTCATAAATTTCTTTTTACCTACTTATATTCCATTTTTAGTCCACATTAATTTCTTATGTTCTAATAAATCTTATGGGTGACATAATTACCAAAATACCCCTAATAATATTTACATTTACATTGTGAATATTCCGTGATGTGAATGTTCACACCATCAATATGAATGTTTACATCATCAATGTGAATATTCACGCCATCAAGATGAATGTTAACATGTCAATGTTAACATTTACACATCAATGTGAATATTCACATTGTAAAATATAAATGTTCATATCATCAAATTACTAACCGTTCAAAAAATATTTGTAAGGGTAGAAATGTCTATAAAATACCTTAAATATGAGAATTAGGATTTGGTAGATCAAATGTCCAAATAATAGAATTTGTTAGAATATAAGAATATCTTATGAACTAATTGGGATACAACACTTGAAAAAAGATTTTCTAATAAATTTCCCATCATAAAACTATACAAAAAATATGAATAAAATACTTTATAGCATATTGTGCACACCATTCTATTTTAGAAAATAAATAAAATTTGTAAAGAAATAGGAATATTTTGTAATGTACTTGGATATCAGATTAAATGAAAGGAATCGGATACCTAGACACAAACATATGTAGCTTTCTTTATTAAAATTTATTCAAACAACTTGGTGATTTCTGTTCACCATTTCAAGTAGTTGTCTCATTAGGGCTGGTAGGGCGCTCCAGAATCTCATATAAGGGTGAAGCATGACACCTATTTACTCTTCATTGTTGAAACTATTTTTTGTATTTGTAAAAAACACTTTTTTTTTTCTTTTCTCTGTTTGATGCAAATTTAAAAATGATGTGTTAGTAGTTCGTCAGCAACAAGAGTAACGATTGCGAGCTCGTTAGCGACAACGGCAATGGTGGTAGAAGAAAAGAGGGGTAAAGGAGCGATGGTAGAAATCATAATGGTGGTGGTTAGATGGTTGTCTGTCCAATTCAAGTTATTTTCTATTGATTGCAGAAAATCTTTTTGATCATTTTTGTTTCTGCAAAAAAATGGTAAAAACACATTTTAAAAAATATTTTTTGCTAAAATAAACGAAACTTTTTTTTTTTTTACCCCCTTGTTATTTTGAATCTCAAGCTAGACTTCTTTTTATCATAATTTTCCATTTATTAAAATTTATATCACATTTTGCATACCATTTAATATGATACATCCACCCCCGTTGGACACTATAGGAGGATTCCAAGAGGTTGTCTTCTTAAGTCTCAAATGTCATATTGGCTTCGCCGACATTGGTTGTACTTGCACTATATAGTAAGATTATGTGATCATTTCAAGTTTAGTTTAGCTTAATAGGTCTTGTTTGACAACCTTCAGTTTTAGTTAGATATCACTCTCTCTATTGTTCTGCATATCTTTTTTATAAAAAAATAAAAAAATTATTAACATAGTCTGTTCTTAAACGAGACCACTTAGCTAAAAAAATACTTCTAAATCTCAAATTCACTATTTAACTCAGTATAAATAGATTATCAAATTAATTTAGTCATTTTAAACATTTTTTGAATTTTGATCATTAAGAAAATTCAACTGTAAATGAATTTGCCTCTTTTAACAAATGAGTGAATATGAACTTTTTATCCTTGAAAGAAACATGCGTAATTTTTTTTTTAATTTTATAATTTGCGTAATTTTATCCTTGAAAGCAACATGAATTTGCCAAGTTTCAAACATGCGTAATTTGATAATTTCCCTAAACAAATAGGTCAAAAATCTTTGTTCAATTCCTGAAAGTGTTATATATGTGAGTTTGGCTAGCAGTCGGGCCAATGACCACTCTTAGGTTCAAACCTTTGCAAAAGAGTTAAGAGTAAAAGGTCATGTTTGGTTTTTATTTGTGAAATGTACGGGGAGGAAATATCTGTCACCTTTCATACACTGTACTACCAAGCTCGTCTCTTCTAATAGAACTCCGACTCATTACAAACAGAACAAAGGTGAGCTACCTATCAGGTGGTTTGCCGGAAAACCCCTCCAACGGTCAAGTTAGCTTTCTAGGAGAAAAAGAGAGAAAAATAGAGTGCTAGAGATAGAATTGTAAGAGTTTGCATACCTTTCCCAGAGTCTGTGCGCCCCTCATATTTAGGCTAGCTATGCAACCCCAGATTGTGCACGCACTACCTCTGTTATCCTTTCCTAGACGCGTGGTTGTACTGTCTTCTCCTTTCTTTATACGTATACGCGTTAATACTGTCAAACAGCATTGGCCAAAATGCCAAACTATATTGACGCATACTCAAAGAAGATTCCTCTTCTCATGCCATTGGACCACGTAGAAAGCCTCAACCAAACAGCTACTTGTGGCATCCCCAGAATGCTAGCTTAAATCAACCTTACGCCAAGCTAAGTCAGGCCGTGTAACAACCCCGACCTATGATTAGCCGATAAACCATGATTAATTATGCCTAATGAGTAATTAAGATGAAATTCTAAATCAATTACATGTGTATGGCATTATTTGCGTTTATATCTGTTTACTGTAGAAATATTAGTTTGTGTTTCTGTTTTGCTCTGCGAATTGAAAGCCTTATCGGCATCCGATCAAGGAATTGATTTAATTTATGTGTTATTTGGAATTGTTAGAATTTTATGGTAGGTGTAGCTCGACTTTTCGTGCTCCTTTCGGATACGACTAGCCTTACAATTCGGACTCCCGTGGTTCTGAATCTGATCTCATAAGTGCAATGTGAAATAGATAAACACAAAAGAGTCCAAATTCGGTAAATCTTTTGGAAAATTGATTTTAAATCAAAATGCCAAAAATGGATTATTTTGCCAAATACAGAGTTGCTAGCTAAATATTTTTGAGAAATTTAGAAAAAATTGTCTCAGCTTTGGCACTTAGGTACGAGAGGGGAAGCCATGAATTGAGAACCCCACTCGCCTGATCAAAGATCGGCCTCTACTAATCATGATGTGATTCTTATTTACATTATATGCTGTTGTTCCGATTATTAGGCTAACATTACTATGTGATGTGCACACAAGTATAGACTAATTTGCAAAAATTGAAACAATTTGATTCATGTTTGTTTTGAAACTTGTTTCGAAAATGTACCACTTGAAAAAGTGATCGCATATGTACATTACTCAAATTATTTCAATTCAAGCAATTAACCTTCATCCATAGGCATTCAAGCAGATATATCAATTAAGCACTTAGCCTCATGGTAACAATCACACACATGCAATATGCTAAAGCACAAAAATGCTCACCTAGTACTTCGATGCGAGCTAAAGGAAACAAAAGAGTTAGAAAACATGCATGCTCCTAACTAATGCAACATGACTAATGAAACATATGCGATATGTAACTAATAGGCTCGGCTACAAATTATGTCATGTAAGTCAATTTGATAGCATGCGGTTTAAGCACCTTTTCAAAAAAGTATTTAAACGACAATGCAATGTTAGAATGATGAACTAAGTCTCGATGCATGCAAGACAAGTGGATGCAAACATGGAGTATGCTAAAAAGAAAGTGATGTTCTAAACTAACCGTCATAAGCAAATAAATAAAAGGGAGAAAGATGAGGGGTTGAAAGATATACACATTATTACGTTGATTGCCCTCGCACAGGAGGGTCTGAATGAATAACCTAGCTAATTAATTGCCTAATTAACTAACTATTATAAACTCAAATGAATAAATTAACTAAGCTACTTAACTAATTATTACAACAACAAATTAACTAATTATTCTAGCTAATAAAATAAGTACAACACATAGCTATTCTAACTAATTAGTTACAGCCCTCTACTCTAAGGATAATTACAACTTCATCTTGACGGATCCTGAGAATCGAGGGATGGCTCATGCATGGATGTGGATTTCCACCCGATAATGCTTATCGTTTTGCTACCGGAGTGCCTTTGTTGCACAGTCACAGTTGAAAAAATGCATTGCTTTTCACCTTAGCTTC